CCAGCCTTCCACAGAGTAAAAACCTCCAGGTAACAGTGGAAATATTGTACAAATGGCTCTGCACATCCAAACCTGGTAGCCTTCTACCATTGCATGCTTAGGTAGGATATTCAACTTTGTATGAATGTTTTTATATTAAGATATAGTAGAAATTCCACATATATACTAGCTCTGCTCCTGCTGAACTGTTCTTTTGAAACAACCATGTGGGGTGAAGGAGGTTGTAATACTGTGCTGCCAGTTAACTTTGGAAGTTATTACATTTTTGTATTCAATTGGCAAATGCACATGTACCAGGGAAGAGAGCAGTGACTACAGTCCATCTGCACCAGGGGGTGTCAGATGGGACATGAACAGATTTTAACAGATTTTCAGAGAGCAGAATTCAACTCTGCAACGAGTTTGTTCTGGTCCTAAAGTAGGACATTGTGATGGGATATAGGGTATTGCTAACACCTTCCTCAGCATGAGAGATAAACACAATGGAAATCGGTTCTAGGGTTTCTTCCTATATTCTTGATCAGACATCCCTCCAACAGGAAGTGCCTTTGGCCTCTGGGACCTTGGCCTTGGGAGGCAGGGTCTCTGCACCATGTCTCAGTATTTGTTATAAGAGCAAACAAGACCCTGGATCCATTTGAGGGGTCAGAAAAGAAGTGGTAAAATTGCACTGGCTCCGTTGAAGCATCAGGAAAAGCAATGGTCATTACTAGTTTGCATTTGTTCTTTCATGAAGTGATGACAGTTTGCCCCAAAAGGCTGCATTTGGCCATTTGATACATCTGTGAGGAGCTCTAGCTGTTGTTTCCTCTATCTTTGCATTGTTGTAGTCGACCGAGACAATGCCACACTCAAATAAGGGCAAAGTCTGTAAATAAAAGCTGTTTAAATGCCAACAAATAACAAATATGTTGACTCTGGAGGCTGATTGATTACAAATTATTTATATTTTTTAGCTGCACTTTTCAGCGCTACCAGACTCACTGACAGTACCATCCTACATTTAATTGCAAGCAACTGGAATAATTTCATGGCATTTTGATTACGTCTTACAAAGCATCCTGCAATGTGTCAGCTTTCTTTCCAAATATCTCATTCCTGCTCCTCCTCTGGTCACTGAGAATAGCCACATATGGGCAAAGCTTTTCTGAGCAATTTACAATGTTTCTGATAGAAATTAGAGAGACATCCACACCTGGAAACTTCTCCAGAATCTGAATTTTTAGCTCCTATGAGTTGGTAGAGGGTTTGTTGCCCTTATTTTATTTAGATTGACTCAGCACCACATTTTCTGGTTTCTATTTCTCAATCTGTTGCAGGAGGCTGTTAGGATTCAGCTCACAGAGGCTTCTAACAGGAGAGCTGTCAGCTGTGCTTGATCTCAGAAGGAAAGGATCAAAAAAGTCAGGGCAATACTGAGGAAGAGGGTCTGCTGAGGGAAGGAAAGTGATATATGAATTATAGCTGGACTTCAGCATTATTAAAATGGGTGAGACATGGCTCTGTCCTTCCTCACAGCTCCAGCAAGTTCACCTGAGGCCATCAGATAGGGGTCCTGGGGCCACCAGACCCTGTACCCCAAGGGCTCAGATCATATTTTCAAGGCAGAAGAAAAATAATTACTTGTCACTCTGATACACAATTACTGGACTGACTAGAGTGGTGAAGGAGACCTTTTTTGGTCTCAGGGAAAGAAAATAAATGCAGTGTATTAGAAGGTCTGTCATGCCAAAGCATCAGCTGAAGGCGAGCAACTGGCTGCCAGGATCAGCACCCTTCCTTGGTGGGGAGAGAAGGCCTTACACAATGTGGAATGAGGCAAATGAAGTTTTCAGTGCAGGAGCAGAATGGGAAACACTGCTGACAGCCAGCTCAACAGACTGATGAAACAGCAGCCCCAGGGAGACTGTTCAAAGGCTCTTTTGGTTATTTAATGAAGTGTGGTTGAGTTTTGACCCCTCAGATTCAGCGCCGGAGGTTTTCTGTGAGAGTTTGAGGTCTTGCTCCTATCCCTGGGTTCACTGGCTACTCAAAGAATTTTTTTAATAATATTCCCTGTAATGGTTTTCTTTCCTGCTGCGTGGAAGGCCACTCGACTGACAGAACAAATTCCTCATATGGTGAAGTGGAGATGGGGACCAAGCCCAGGAGGCCGTTGCAAGCTCAGGGAACAGGAGGGGATCTCAGCCAGCTTGGGCAAACCATATCTCCAGGCACGGCCTGGTGAACATACAGCATTTACCAGTTCCTATGGAACTTTTTACAACAGCAGATTAAAGAAATCAATTTTATTTAGAGAGAAAGGGCTTGTCTTGAAACTGTTGAGCAAGTTCTTTTAGACTACAGTGGATAACTGCAGTGGCAGGGGCTCCCATTACCCTCATTAGCAAAGTTTTAGCCTTTGCAAAATGCAGGCTTGCTCCCCTTTCTCCAGAGGTTACTGCCAGCAGGATGGCTTCTCCCTGCTCCCTCCCTCCCCAGCTGGGGACCTGCCCTCCGCACCCGACCCCAGCAGCAGCCCTGCTGCAAACACAGCCACGGTGTGGAAAAGCAACACCACATAAACGCATTTTCATCTCCACTTTGTAATTTAAACTCAGGAGAAGCACCCGGGCAGGAAGCCCCCAGCCGCTGCTCTGTGCATGGCTGCAGGTCCCTGGCTCAGGTCACCAGCAGTGGAATTGCTGCAGTCCTCCGTGCAGGCCTGGCACTGACATTTAATGGCACCGTGCCAGCCTGTGACATGGTAAAACTATCCTGAGGCCACAGTGAGTTTCTTTCAGTGGCCCAGCACCAGCAGTGCTTCGGCCTGTGCGTTAGAGCACGTAGAAGTCATTGTTGTTTGACAGGTCACTGTAATGGCAGAGGGCGAGAGCGGGGCCCTGTGCCGCCGGGGGCTCGGCTCGCGCCCTGCCCTGAAGGCCCTGTGCCGGGGGCCTGCCCGAGCCCGGGTTGCAGAGGTGACTGTCCCACCGGGGCTCAGCCACGGCCTGGTGCTTGTGTCTGCCGCTGCCATTGCAGTAGGTCCCACAACACCGGCACGTCAGGAAGCGCTTGGCTCGCTGTTTGGCCTTTGACTCGGAGGCCGAGGCCGTCCCTCCGTGAGGGAGAGTCACAGGAGTGGCACCCCGTGGGTCGGGCTGCCCTTTCAAGCGGCTCCTTCTCCTCTGGACGGGGTCCAGGCTGATGTCGGACTGGGAGGAGCAGCTCTCGTTCCAGCCGGCGCTGGCGCTCAGGCTGCGCAGCGGCAGGGCGAGCCGCAGCGCCTTCCAGAACTGGGAGCCGGAGCGCTTGGACTTCTCCCCCTTCCAGGTGACGAAGGAGACGGATTCCTTCAGCTGGAGGATGCTGGGGTGGGTGCACTGCAGCGGCCTGTACTCCACCACGATGAGCTTGGTGGCGATGGCGTTCTGGCACATAATGCCCAGCTTGAACTCCAGAAGGCTGATGCTCTTCTCTGTCAGGTAGTCAGGACTCAGGACCACGATCATCCTGCGGCTCCTCTGGATGAAGTCAAACACGGCTTCAGTGGTATCTAAGAGTACAAGGGTAGAGGAATTGGGGTGCACAAGGAGAAGGGAGTGGGGAGAGAAAAGCTAAGGAAACTGTTTGGTGGCATACCTGCACAGATCCCTCTTCCCACAGAGGGAAACCTGGCACAAGCTCTGTGACTTTCAACTTGCCCACCAATGCTGGCAGCATTTTTGCTGTGCAGTGGGTTTTTGAGAAGGCTGAGGCATAAATGAGAAGCCAGGATATGCCATGATTATACTCTGACTTCTGCACAGCATCAGGCATGCCCAGAGAAGTGCAGACATTTGATAAAGGGTGGGTCTTCTTTGGGAACCACCTGCCCACAGCTTGAGCAATTCTTTGCATCAGGGGATCAAAGCAATCATGTCATCCTGACCCAGCTCAAACTGCAGGGGCTGACCCACCTCCCCCCGTCATGCTCTCTCATCTTTAAAAAGAAACCTCCAAATTTAGAAAGCAAAAAATGTCAGCCTTAAACCCCTCCACCAGTTCCCCTAGGCATCATGGGGCGTGGAAATACTTCCCTTCAAAGCATTTCTTGGAATTAATTGCAAGTTGTAAAGCTCAGGAAGAAGCTTAGCTGAAATGGTGCCAGGCAAGAGTAACATTTCTTTTATTACCAGTTTTCAAAAGTAGCAAACCTGAAGGATGTCCTTGGACTTCTACCTGTGGCTTGGGACACAGAAAGTATATTGAAGGTGTAGTGGCTAAAGGGTGAGCAGTGGAAAAGATGGGAACTATATGGCTGTGGCACTCAGCAATTCAACAAAAGCTGAGTAATAAAACTGTAAAAAATTTTAAAAGCCCATACACTTACTAAGTGCTGGTGCCTGAGATGAGAGGGGATCCAAGGACAAATTGGTGTTCAAGGAAGACAAGGATCATTAGAGTAAGAGCTCTTGCACATTCAGAGAGAAAAATCTGCCTCTAGGAATGTCTTTCAAAGAGCTGTTCTGGGAAGAAGAGCTACCTCCTGCTCCCCTTCCATTTCACACTGCTAAAGCCTTCATTCCTCAGGCTGGAGACTCTCCTCTCTCCCTGACAGTGGAACACTGCTCTTTTATATGAATAAAAATACTGTTCCTTCCCTGTAATGGCAATGCCTCTTAATTCTCCCAGCGCTTGGCTGTCTCTTATCTCACAGCAGAAGGTGTACTGTGTTGCATCTGAATGCACCTTATTTTAATATGGTACAGAGCAGTACTTTTCAAAGAAGTATGACTAGCTGTAAAACTCATTGTCACTAGATTATGTGGAGACCCAGAAAGGAAAAATGATCATACAGTCAAATGCTAATGGAGAAAGTAGGGCACTGTTTGGTTAATAAAATACTGGAATTTAAGTCAAATTATTTTGAGGGTGTTTTTTTCTTGTATAAAAAGTTTGGTGGGATTTTTACCCCCAGCACACACAGGAAAACACTGATTCATTGAAACCAAAAGTAGATGATAGTTCTGTCACTTACCACTAGGACACATTTTTACCACCCTGTTTCAAAGGCATAAAGAATTGGCAGCAATCTCCTACGTCCAGATCTCATCCAAACTTTTCTACAAGTGATTGAAATCTATTTTGAAAACAGCCAGGCTTCAACAGTTTGTGAAAGAAAAAGCTCTTTCGCTGTTTGAAAGGTCTTTCTTTTTGAAACTGGAATCACAGAACCACAGCAAAATGTAAGCAGGAGCAGCCCCTGGGAGGTCTACCTGCCTGCTCAAAAAGCCCAGCTTCAATTAACATGAATGACTCTGATGCTGCTGAAATGAAATGTTTTGATTGAGGTGACAGTGCTGGTTTTCTTGTACCCATTTTGAATTTGCAACACTTTTTGAGACTTTTTATTTTGAGACTCATGTTTTTTGACACTCTTTTTTTTAGACTTTTTTTTTTTTTGCAAGGAGGGTGTTCAAATTTCCAAAGATATATCTCATTTTGAGAAAGGGATGTATTTAGAGTTGGCTGACCAGGGTACCTTGGGCTGTTCAGTTTCCAATGTTTACCCAGCTCAGGAAAAATCCTGAGTAGACACTTCACAGTGCAGGTAGAATTTTCCCTCCCAGTTAAACAGCACTGGGTGGGACAGGCAACAATAACACTGCAGGGGCTTGGGGATTCAATACTCTTGGTTATCTTTTTACTAAAAAACCTTCCATCTTCACTAAATGTTTGCAAAAGACACTGCATATTTTTACTGGTTTTCTTGTGTCTCCCCAATGCACCACAAATATGTAACAGATTATAAGGATTATGATCACAGATCCCATACCCAGAGACCTCAAATCCATAGGTGGTCACAGGTACTCATTTTGCTAGTGGCCTGGAAGTGCTGGGCTGTCTGTCAACTTACCTGCAGGCAGGCAAACATGGGAAATGGGCAAGAAAGTGACTTGGATGAGAAAATATGAAGCTGACTGAACCTAGAAACTGATGGGCAAAGTAGCCTGAGAGTGAGTTTGATTTCTGTGGTTTTGGCAGATTTCTAAAATTCTGATTTGATATTTAAAGCAGAGATTATGTTGCCTTCCCATCTTTCTGTCTTGTGATTGCCAAGTGAGCACTCTTTAGATCAAAGACTTTCTGTGTGTGCGTGTCCACTGCTGTGAGACATCTGAATGCTGTGTGTCACTGTGTTTCTGCTTGGATGGTCCTGGGAGCCCAGGTGTCTCTGCAGGCACAGCATGAAACAGCCAGGAAAGTGTTCCATTCCAGGGAGGAGCCCCAAATGATCTTGATTCTTGGACTACACACACATCATCTTTCTTTAACAGCATTTTGCAGACGAAATGAGAAGATGGTACTTATGAGAAATGCACAAGGACTGAAATGCAAAAATGAAAATGTTTTATTGAAAAGCAAAATAAAAATAATACTGACACTTCACAAACCAAATCACACAAAGGCAAAAACATACAGAAAAGGGAAAACTCTGGAACAGCTGTACAACATCAAACAACACGGGAAGGGAAGATATTTTTTCCAATTTGTGCCACGCTGTTTCCCAATGAAAAAACAATTAGGAACTTTGCATGAGCTGCATATTGATAAATGTTAGGTTAGAGCACAGAAACTCAAATGAATCAACTGATTCAGATGGATGCTGTGATAGAATCCCACAATGGAAACCACACGTGGCACAGAATGACATGACAGGCATATCTGAGGCACTTGCAGATCTACTTTACAGTTGGGACTGGGCTTTACCCTTGGCCTGAAATACCCCAGCAAAGCCAGTGGTAAAGCTCCTGGGTGAGTGGAACCTGCTTCTGGACTGTTCCTTCCACACTGCTCCCTCTGACCTCTCAGGTCCCTTCCAAACCTTCACCTTGTGGCTGCTCTGCTGGTGTCCCTCAGTAACCCTGTTCTGGGGTTGCAATCACAGAATCACAGAATTTCTAGGTTGGAAGAGACCTGTAAGATCATCGACTCCAACCCATGTTCTAACACCTCAACTAGTCAATGACACCAAAGGCCACTGCAGTGTATGCCTGAGAAAGTCCAGGCCTATTCATTATCTGGAAAACTCTTCTAATAAAATCGGCAAAATACATGAGATGGATTTAAATTCCTAAAATAATCAGACTTACTAAAACATCAGCATAAAATCTCTTGTTAACTCAGGCAAAAGTGAGATGTGATGTAGTGAGGTCTGAGATTCAATTTATGAGCATTTGGGAGTCAATCTTTTAAAAATCATACGAGAACCTAACAGAGCTCTGCTTTGGCTTCAGGGCCTTCCCTCTGCTTGCAGATCTGGCAGCTGATCACAGAGATGCTTAAAACACAAACAAAAAGGTGAAGCTGGGCACAATGACAGGGTTGCAATGGGTTCACAAAGCCAAGCATGGGTTTGGATGCTATCTCTTATAAATGAAGTTTTCTGGAGTGTGGGAAGCAGCTCTGTCCCTCCACAGACAACCACAGCAGAAAAGCTCATAACAAAACTTTTAAGCACCTCTGAGCAGATGAGGAGCTCCACTGCCTCCAGTGAAGCTGACTGCAATTTTACCTGCTTAAATCAAAGCTTACTTGGGGTGGGAAAGATGAAAAGGACAGTAAGAAAGAAGCTCTATTTGTTACACATCTGTACAGTGTCCTGGTTCCGGCCAGGACAGGGTTAGTTTCTGCACTAGTCAGGAGGGGGCATGTCCAGGACACTGAAGTTATTCTATACCACCTTGCATTTGCAAGGGGTGGAGGGAAGGGGATCTCTTTTGGGAGAAAGGGTCCCAGCACAGCGCAGCTGGGCCAGTGCAGGGCAGCAGAAGGAATGGTTGGATATGGTCAATTGTCAGGGGGTTTTTCCATGGGAATGATTAATTTCTTGTACCCTCTATCACCAGTATTGTTGTAGTTAATGTTCATTTTCTTATCTCATTGCTGTTTCCAGTAAATTTTTCTTATCTCAAAGCAGGATCTTTACCTTTTGTGCCTTCAATTCTCCTCTCCTCCCTCTGCAGAAGGAGGGAGAAGGGGAAAATGAGGGGCACATCAGTTTCCCTGAATTGTGGAGTACCTTTCCTAAACACGACACACAGTACCTGACTAAGGGCATGGGGCTTAGTAGCTCCCTGCAGCCCTGGAATAACATTATTAATCATAAAATGCTAAGGGCAAAAGGTTTTCCTGATACCAGTCCCACACCTTTAAGGCTGGGCTTTTTACTGGGATGCCCTCAAAGCTCCCAGCTCAGCTGGGTAAATAGTGCATAGACTCCTAATTGTAGTGCTTTTATAATGCCATAGTGAATGCTTATGCCCCACCCACTGGACACCAACAGAACAAATGCATGAGTCAAAGGTGACTCAGGAACAACCATCACCAATAAAAATAAGCATGCACTTGGTGTGTGTAATACTGAACTCCACAATTAAGTGGGCAGGTCCTTGCACTAAGAGCTGCAGGAGTATGGAGACACCACCCAGAACCTGAAGTTTTATTTGAAAACATTGTTAACCATAGCACCAGTGTATGCCAGGGCCCTACTGTGCTTTAGTTTGTCCTACAAGAGAGATTAAACTCCCCTCCTCAGCATGAGCTGTGTGATGGGGGTTAACTCACCATGCCCTCTCCTGCTGAAGCAAGGACACCTACACAGTGGGTTTTTGTGCTTCTGTTTTGTGCAAATGTTGCAGAAGCTGAGATACACTCTCTGTTCTGCAGCTTTAGGCTGGAATCAAGATGGGGAGAGACTTTGTAAAGCCAAAGCTGGTTTAAACCTAAACCTTGAATTAGAAATGGCAAAACCAGGCATTGAAGAGAGAGTCTTTATAAAACCATAGAATAATTTGGGTTGGGAAGAACCTTCAAAGACCACCCTCCCTGCAATAAGCAGGGACATATTCAACTGGATCAGACTGCTGACAACTTTGTCCAACCTGGCCTTGAATGGTTCCAGGGATGGGGTATCCACCTCCCTTGGCAACTTGTGCCAGTGTTCTATCCCCCCTCATTGTAAAAGATGTCCTCCTTAAATGTAGTCTGAATCTACTCTCTTTTAGTTTAAAACCATTACCCCTTGTCCATAAAGGGGTAATTGCAAAAGGCCCTACTAAAAAGTCTGTCCCCACTTTTCTTATAAGCTCCCTTTAAGCACTGAAAGGCCACAAAAAGGTCTCCCAGGAGCCTTCTCCAGGGAGAACATCCCCAGCTTTCTCAGCCTGTCCTCACAGTCTTACCTACATGGACAGAACTAGTAGTTTTAGGAAGTTCAAGTAAGTTTCTGGGGTGTCCTTCTGAGTTGGACTTATATCCATGTCATTCCAAAGAACTTGGAAGCACCTTGCACGATGCTTTCCCCCAGCCAGTGGCAGAGAGGGTAGGCAGGTTCAGTAGTACATTGGGGCTCCTTGTAGTGCTTGTGAAGTCCCTGAGTTTACTCTACACATAAACATCTCTCACACGCTCCACAGCCTGTACTCATGAGAGATTTCCCTGGATTACAAGCAGCTCTGAAGGACCTGGGGCACTTTTGAGACTACAGAGTCCCAGAGACTGACTACTTGTTACTAGATGTGCTACAATACAAATAGCACCCAGTAGAGTTGTGGGGTTTTTTTAATGCTACTGTAACATCTATTTCCCACTGGAAACTACCTGGGTGCATCTACTTCAAAGGAAATTTGGGGAATTAAGATGAGGGGCTTCAAAAGTCCACACCCCCACAGTGCAGTAGGAGTCTGTGATCCCACAAGTGATGGGGACTACAGACCTGGGACATGCAGGAAAGGCTCTACACTGGAGCCACCTTGCAAATTGTTCCTCAGCCTCTGCAACAGGGACTGAGGACCAGAAAGGAGTGAAGTTACTTAGGACTGGAAGGAAGCTCTGTCCTGGATGCTAATGAAGGTCCCATAGGAACAGGATCTAGGAGTACTGGCCATGCTATCACAAGGTGCTGGATGCATCCCTCCTAGATAGCAAATTTAGACCTTAAGCCCAGGGCTTGTGTGATTGATAGCAAGGACATACATTTGCAGAAAGCAGGTGTTTGCATCTTCGGTCTCTCTAATGACAGAGCAATATCAAAGCTGCAGGGAAAACTCAACTATCCTCTGAAATGCTCGGGACATGGTCCTTCATGGGAAAAAACCTGAGTTCCTCCCCACTCCCTGGCCTAACTTGTGGATTTTTGAGGTGTGTTTTGATTTGTTTTCTGATTGCGTCAAACATTTTTCAGGGATATGCATCAATCCATCAAGGCTTAAACTCCTGCTAATTTTTTTCACTGGCATCTCCACCTGCAGCTGCTTCCAGAACCTGCCCTTTGGGAACTTGGATTTCTCGCCTTTCCATTTAATGACATTCAAGGCTGCTTTGGCCTGCTTCAGCTCCTTCACTTTGCTCTTCTTGATGGCTTTGTACTGCACTAGAATGACCTTGATGTTGCCCTTGGAGGCCATATTCTCTAGGCCAGCCTTGAGCTCCAGCAGGGCCTGTGTCCCCTGCAAGACGTAGTTGGGGCTCAGGACAACAAGCAGACGTCGACTTTTCTGGATGAAGCTCAGGGTTTCGTCTGTGACAACTGGGAGAAAGAAACATTGAGGTGGTTAGTGATGCCCAAGAATGTGCTGCTGAGCTGCTGCTGTGACACCAGGTGACTCTTGAAAGGGACAGTAAATCCTTTGGAGGCCCTATCTAGATTACACTGGTGCTTCCCAACCCTGTAAGTGACTCCAGGTGGAACTTCCTACACTAGGGCTGGTTCCCACTACCCCGTACAGTGGCATATTCTCCATCACTCCAGACTACCTATAGATGCCTTTCCTTCTACCCATGCTACACGCAGATAACCAAGACAGCTACACCTAAAAGACACTGATGTGTCACTACACATCAGTGACACCACCCAGTGCAGTGAGGATGCCTTGTGGCCAAGAGAGCTGCTGATCTCAGGCTGAGATTTAGCTTCCTTCTAATGAGAGGGGGAAAAGAGGCTCTCTGGAAACTAGTAGGGAAACTGCCAGCTGCATAACACATGAACTCAAGGGAAAGACTCACCCTGAAGAAGCTTCAAGAAGCCTGAATGTCTGTGCTTACATCCTCATCTGGCAGATGTCCAGACTCTGGATACTCCCTTCACTCTTCCTGCCTCAGTTTCCCCACACAAAGTAAGTATTCACACCGTCCCCAAGAGTTCTCATGGGATAATTTGCTTTGGTAATGCCACCATCCTAACTCCTGTTACTCATCCATCTGTTCCTGCTGCCGTCATCTATGAAAGCAGATTAGAGCATTTTTAGAACTGACTCTGAGGACTTCTAGTGAAGTGTCCCAAAAATGACATCCTTTGAGCTAGAGAAATGCCATGGTAACTGTGGATCCTCTTTAATTTTCCTACATCTGCAGGTACACTGTCCCTGGCCACCGTCTGTAATTAATGTGAAAATCCCTTGTAAGTGCGAATCCGGGTGCTTGTACTCTCTGTTGCAAAATCTCCCACACTTCCTTGATAAGGAAACACTCTTGACTGGTCAGAAATTACAATGGAGAGTAAAATAATGCTGACAGACAACTTCATTTAGCTGTCAAGCACGTTTGATTAGTTCCTGTCAGCTAACCCACAGGATAATCCATCTCCCACTGTTTCTTCATCAAGGACAACATAACTCTCTACCCATGACACAGATGCACACTCTGGAGGCATGATGCCAGCTGCCAAAAGCTATTTCCTGGCCCCCATGCTTTCCTGAGAAGGAGATTAGTCAAATCCAGGCTAAGAAGCTCCGGGGAAGCCCCAGCAGCATCAGGGATGGCAGTGTGGTGACAAACCACTCCGGCAGCACCCCACAGGGCTGGCACTGGCTTGAGGCTGGCAGGGACTGAGGGGGGCAGATGGAAACATTTGGGGGTAAGGTGAAGCACAGAGAGCCCAGGAGAGCAGTGCTGGGAGAGAAATGACACCCTCTAAAGCGAACAGGGCAAGAAGAAGCAGAGGGAACAGGAGGGAGATGGACATCTGGTGACAATGGCTCAGAGCAAACCTGTTCTGAGCCTGACAGTGGCATCAAGCAAATCGAGCCTGGAGGGTGCCCTGCCACATCATTCAAGCTCTCTTCAAGGAGGAACAGCACCAGGATTGCAGCTGTCTCACTGAGACACACATATTTATTTACCCTCAAACTTTAAGGTGCTCCTACATCCTGCCAGCAATCTAGGAGGGAAAGATAACAGAACCCAGACTGATTCTACTCTCTTTGTCAGGTAGGTGGGCAGAGAATCCAGCAGTCCCCCCGTTCCTACTCAAAAGGGACACCCCAATGGACTTTCCCAGCAAAGGTTTTGTCACCAACAAAAAGGACTTTGGGGTCTTGAGCCAAAGCCCATGAATTCAAAGCAGGGCAGTCTGCACTGGCAGAAATTCAGACTTTGAACTTTTTATAGGCATCAGGATCATACAACAAACTCAGCCTCTAAAAAGTAAAAATCAAGAATGTTGTCTAGATTTGTGCCCTTGCTATGGAACTTGTGTTAATGTATGTGTATCTGGATAGTTCACAAACTTCTGTTCTTGGTGATTTCCCACCTCCCTGAAGCAGACATAATGTCCAGAACCTCATATGATTTATCTCAAAACAGTAAAAAAGGACTACCTCTTACTGAAGAGATGAGTCTCACTACCTGCAACAAAGTCCTTTTAATAATAGCGGCTAAATTGTATGACATATGAGACACAAACTCCCTAATTAATGAGAGTGGATGGGACACACATTATCCTCTCACTGATTTTGACTTCCACTCCTTCCTGAAGTAGACGCTCCTGTTTTTTACAAGGATTCTCCATTACTCTCTGTGAGCTGATCCAGTATAACACTTTCCTGCCTCTTCTAGCCTTGACTTTATCTCATTTTTTAAGGGAGCTCAGAGGGTTTTCCAGTTCCCCATTCTGACATTCCTACACAACACTCCTGGAAAGAGCAACTGAAACAACCAACCACCACCCCCACAGCAGCCATTTTGGTGGCCAGGTGCATCTGCAACACTGTCGTGAAGCAAAAACATTAGAAGACACTAAAGAGAGCTCATTAACAGTGATAGGGAAAAAAACCAAAACATAATCTGGATAGGCTTGTCGCAATCAACGATCAATACCTCAACGATAAAGACCAATAAACGGGATGTGCACGGAGCACAGCACCGTGTGAGATACTCACTTCCCCCAGGGAGGCTGTCTCTGTCGAAGATACACAGCTTGTACCCGAACTCGTTCTCCAGGACTCCCCGCAGCGTCAGCAGCACAAACTCCTCCTCCTCCGCGTTGCGCGCGTAGGACACATACACATCGTACTCCTTCCCGTCTGGGCAGGGGGGCACAGGGGACACAAAGGGCACAAGGGACACCTGTGATACTGCCCATGCTGGGCCTTTGACTTGCAAGAGAAGCAGGTAGGAAGGCTCACTTGGTAAGCACTATTGCAGGTTAAGGCACGTAGATTTCCACAGACCAAGCCGTTCTGTCCAGGCTTCTTTTGCCTTTTGCCACCTTTGACTCTGCTCTCTCTTGCTGCTGTCTATGCACACAAGCAGTCCCACCAGACAGAGACTTGCACCCTGCCTACACCCTCCGAGAGCTGCCGCACCCCCCTGGCAGGTTCACACCACAAGCTGCAAGGGCTCAAACACCCTCCTCCTCCTCCAGAGGAGGGAATCTCACCTCAGAGTCCCTAGCAATGAACTCCCAGTAACACAGGGAAGAACTGAGGACAGAACGGTGATTTCCACATCCATCCTTTTGGATGCCTTCCCACATTTTAAAGCAGATCACTCTGGATCAGATCATGAATCCTTTACATAGAGTCACCAGGGAAACAAGGGACTTACTGGAACCTGATGACACATCTTGACAATCTAGATTGGGTGATACAGCTAGATCAGCAGGGCAGGGCCCTGGGGAGCTGGGCAAATCCATGCTCCACCTCTGCAGAGAATACAGAGGACTTCTTTCTTCTTTTCCCTGAGCTAAAAGCCTGACTCCTCTAGCTCTAATCAGCAATGACCCACACAAGTGCATGTAGATAGAGAAATGGAAGGTCAAAATGTCATTATGCTGTGAAGAGGCTTAAAAATAGCTTATAGGAAAACTCCTATATGAAAATAAAGGGTCTGCAGCAGGATAAATAAAAGAAAGCATTTTAACTCCTTACCTAGAATGGTTTCATCTGTTCCAAAATGAGCCCGATAGAAGAGGACCATTTCAAGCCAATACACATGATAGATGACTATGAGCACCACGACGAGAAGGATGGTGGCCCCCAGGCCACAGGCCAGCTCCACAGTGTACTTGGGTGCTACAACTGAGTACAAAAATAGACAGGGAATCAGGGTTAAAGAACAGGTTGGACCTTCAGCTGGGCAGGAACAAGCTTGTGTCATGTGCAGCCAAACACCACAGAGGAGCAGCCAGGAGCCAAGCTGACCCTTCAGAGTAAGGTGGCCAAGCCAAGGCTTTTCTCATAGGGCACGTGATGGCTGGCCACCCTGGAACAACATTCTGGGTTATTGGGTCTGGTCATGCTGGCAGAGCAAGTCCATGGCACAGGCTGGACTTGTGTCTCTGAGCGAGGCCTTGGGAGCAGACAGGTGATAGAATGACCTGCTGGTGGAAGAAACCTGCACAGTCCAAAGCCAGAACATGAACATGACCTTCTCAGCAGTATCAGCAAACTCTTGGGGGAACACAACTGCTCTGACTTCTAAGAGATCCAGATAAAGCACCTGCAGCAAAATAAAGGCAATGGTTGCCATTCTCCCTCCCTATCAAACAGACACAGGTCTTATGGCTTGTCCCAGACTGACACCATAAGTAGCCATGGCCTGACTCTTTTCTACCATGACAGAAAAATCAGAGTTCCTTACAGAAAAGCTGAAATGCTTGCAAATAAACAGGGCCACCTGCGGGCATCACAGGCCCCCTCCAGCTCATGAACTGTCTGTCACACCACTGCTGCTTCTTTGTACTAAGGACAGAAAATTTCTAACTGTATCCCTGGGCAACTCTGTTGGTGGCAGTTGATGTGCAAATTGGCAAACTGCACAATAACAGAACAACGGGGAGTGGAAACATCACCAAATTCCAATATTTAATAAGTTGCTAATAAATCTGAATTACAAAATCAAAAATGGAAGGAATTTATCAATGTCCATTAGGTGATGAGCAGCAGAAGTCCATAAGAAGGAGAGGGAAATCATCCAGAAAAAGCAAGAAATGTATATGACCTAATGTAATGGAAGAGTTGGAGCCAACACACAGAGCCACTTGCTAAAAGCCAGGTGCTGAGGGGATAGTTTCTGGCATGCCTGATGCTCCTATGGGATGTGCAGAGGGATGGGCTGCACTGAGCTTAGCATAAGGCTGCTCTGCCAGCAGCAGCTAGGGATGGCTCTTGGACTTTGCTGTGGAATAGAGCAGGAAGAAGGAGTGGGTAGAGGGTAACCATGTCTGCCCAGAGCAAACCCAGTCAACTAACCAAGAACATGGGGAGGAAAAGGGAGGATAGTACAGATCAGTCCACTAGAAAACAGTATTTAGGCACTGATATTTAGGGAAAGAATCTGAGTATTTCAGATTCACTTTGCTACATGTACAAATATTATCACACCAGAACTCACTGACAATGGTTTCAGCCTGTCTCAGTTATGTGTGTGGTCTATTGTTCCTCCCTAACAATCCAGAAAGGTTTGTCTCAATTGAATGAGACTAAAATAGAAGGAGGACAAGTATCAAGAAGAAAAAGATCTTCCAGTAAAGACCTCCAAGAGCTTTCCTATGCTTATAATGCAGAGTAGAAGGAAGAAGGTGTCTGGTGTGAGCTACACAAGCCATGGCAGCATTCCCTGTGGGACGGGGAGGTCTGGCTTACAGTAGAAGCAGGTGTTGAAGTTCTAGATGAGGCTAATAAGGAGGCAGAAAAACCCACCTTAATAAGGAAGCCTCACATAGCTTTTATAACTGAGAGGTGGGTCTGGGAAAAAAAAACCAAATCTCTGATGAAAAAACGATGTTGGAAAACCCCACACAGAGCAGAGCTGAATCAGTCTATGCTATCCATGCTGAGGTGGCTGTATCTAGACTGCAGCATCATGACAGCAAGGAGTAAGAGCAGAGAGTGCTGTGGTGTGACTGTCTCACTCCCTGAGCAATGCCAGCAAGCGCAGACTGTCTTCTGGAGGATGCCAGCTGCTAGCTGTTGTGTCATGCAAAACCCTCACACAACCAAATAACCTGAAATCATTTCAAGCAGCCTGTGCGCTCAGCTCTGCTTCAGCTGTGCTACAGGGATGGGATGAAGACAACAGATCTGTCCTTTCTCTACCCACGAACTTGCCCATGGAGGGCTCTTTGTTCCCTTTGCCTCCGAGAAGTGGTGCAGTACGACAGCAGTTCCTACAGAACAGACTTAGGCAGAAAGGCCTGATGGAACTCTTTGCCCCCTTCCTGTTTTGCAGGGCAAGGCTGAAGGCAGCAGCAGGAGCCCCCAGCCCACCCTGCCGCGCAGGCACCGCACCTTTCACGCGCACCACGGCCTGGCTGCGCTCCTCGCCTTTGGCGTTCCTGGCGTGGCACGTGTAATTCCGCCTCAGCTCCTCCGCCGTGGCCTTTGCAACTGTCAGAGTCCTTACCAGAGTTTTGTCTTCAAAATCTCTGGTAATTTCACTGTAAGAGAAAAACAGACGTGAAAGTGCAGCAAGTTTTCAGTGACAGATATTCCTTTCCCTGATATAACCTCTTCCTTTAAAAAGGCCAAAACACATAACTTGATATTTATAAATCAATATACACTTCAGATTGTAATACAGCTGCAGCTATTCCTTTATCTGATTTTCCTTAATATTTATTTTACTGCTCATAATTTTCTCATTGCAGCTGTGCCACATTGCCTTTTAGAGGAAATGGAAGTTCTTGCCTATAAACAAGAAGATCTCGTGAACTCAAGATTCACAGCTCACGTCACATTCCCTATGCAGTCCTGGATGAGTCACTTTGTCTCTCTCTGCCTGAATTGACCGTCTGCAAAATGAGGATACTTTATTTTCTTTTGCCTTTCCTTTTTCTACATTGGTTTGCAAATCAGCTGGGGCAGTGACTGTCTTCCACTTGTAACTCAGCATCCAGCAAATGGGACTTCGATCCTCATTTGGGTTCTTCACGTGATTGAATCTCTATTCTTCCTAATCAACACTATGTATAATATTACATTTTTGTTTTCAGCCTCTGTTTTTCTGAAACACTTTTATACCCTATGCTATTTGGGAACACTCCTCTAAATAGAATTGTTAGCCCCTGTTTTGTAAGTCCCAGAACAACAGCAGCTGTTGGCATCACTACCAGGACCTGAACAAATGATGATGTGAACTGGTTAACAAAGCTCCCTCAAATCCATCTGTAAGATATGACACTGTCCAGGTCTGGAGGCCTCCTCCTTGGAGGTCCTGCTGCTCATCACAGCATGGTGCAGACAGAGGGGCTTCTGAATAACAGGGACACTGCCCACTCCATTAGAACTGTCCCATGCCCATACCACACACCCCCAGGGGATTAGAAATGAAGGTTGACATTAGATGTTACCTTTGTGTGACTTTTATCTTGGGATCTGTGATGTCATCTGTGTTTCTCCCATCTATGGTCCACCACACCTCAGTCCGGGAGTCCTTCAGGAATGTGAAGAAAACCTCACAGGGCAGGACAAGGTCATCACCTGCAAAGAAAGGACCATCATCTCCTAGGAGAAAAGGTATTGCAGTGCAGGAACAGCACCCCCTTCACTTCAGTGCTTTCCAAAATCCTATCAGCCTCAGCTCTGCCTTCCTTCAGGAAAGAATGAGGCCAACATCCACTTTCTGACATAAACTGTAATAACAGCTTAACATCCCTGGACATGAGGATTTGTGACAGACATAAATAGAAAAGGATGTCCTGCCTTCTCAAATGTGTTACAAATTCCTTGACTGCACAAAGTGACCCACCCAAAGAGACATGCTCCATGCCAGCCACTTCCTTGGAAACCCAGGCAGTGCTGATCAATCCCACAGCACAGATGCCACAAAGTGAAGGATCAAGCTCCACAAAAACATTTTGGTTTGGAAATACTTCTTCAGGAATTTGACTTCTGCTCAAGATCAGACTTAGGAGCGTGAATATCTTGGCGATCAGTAAGTGACTTTATGTTACAAAGGACTATGGATGAAATCCGACCTTCTGAGCCAAAGGAACTGTTCTTTAAAGTCAAGACTCTGGTGCTAATCATCATCATTGCCACCACATTTATTACAGCACTGTAATGGGACACAATCCATTTGATAGAGGGAATTGCTCCAAAAAGCTATTAGGCAAAACTGACGGTGTGGGGGAAGGGCTGAGGGAAAGGGTGTGGTACCCCATTACCCAGTGCTGCGAGGTCAGCAGAAGGAGAGCTGTCACTAATTAGGAAGTCATCAGCCAATAAAAGGGGAGATGAGCAAGAATTGGCTAAAAGACTAAAGCCACTCTAGGGGTGAATGAAGGAGGGAGGAAGGGAGCAAACCACAGCCAGGGCCACAGCTGAAACAAGGTCCTACAGGAATTCTCCTAAGCAGCTGAGTGTCCCCGTTTCATCTGCTTCTGCAGCTGCAGTTTTGTATCATCACACCTGAATATCTTGCAAAAAATCAGCTTTTAAAGCTGTGCTCTCCATCAAAAATTAGCATCCCACACTGTCCCCCAGGCAACCCGTGGCAGCTCGAGTGCTCTGAGAGGGAAAGCACCAGGGATGCAGTGGGAGAGCTTTGTGCCTGGCTGGGTCTCCCTGTCCCACTGGCACGCTCTGAGTGTTGGACTTTACCTGCTTCCAGCTCGTACACAACTTTCTCATTTGGAGAGGTGAACTGTGGTGGCAAGGCCTTGTTTGGAGATCCTGCAGGAGACAACAGAGAGCCCCCATGGGGCCCCAGACTCATGAAAACTTGGAATTCTTGCAGCCTCACTCCCAATGCCCTCGCACTGCACTGCACGTTCTCCAGTCTAACTCATGGTGCATTCCTGCTGTGGAGTTCTGTGCACACACAAATCTAATCCTAGTCCCCAAACTCAGGGCCAGGTCCTGATTTTAAGGCTCCCCCAAAGTTTAGGTAAGCTAGTTTGGGCCTCTCACATGAGAAGAGCTCCATAGCCTTCTCATCTCCCACAAGGCATAACCTGCACCAGTTTGTTTTTACTGCTGCTCTAAAAAACAAAATACAAACCTCATTTTGTGTCACAAATATCTATTTCAACCCTTAAAACAGCTGTTTCTGAGGAACTCAGAATGTATCCTATAGCTCACTAGGTTTTTAAACTCTGCAATTCCCTGGCAGATAAGCTGAGCCTCTGTGCCTGGAACAGATGTGTCCAAGCAGTGAGTACCTGGAGTTCTGCCTAGCGGATTAGCAGTCTCAACCCCAGCACAAATGGCTTTGAGATTCCAAGAAGACCAAGACCAGTTGGCTATGAAGTGAGAATCCCACAAGTAGTGATGAGCAAAGGAGACCACGAGCAGGAGTGCCAAGGTTATGCATTCACATGCCAGCAGAGGGTACCCCTGGCCATCTCATGGGCTGAACCTCACCACCCTGAGGCTGGCCACTCTGTGTTTGGGGCATTTGACAAGGTGGCAGGAGAGACATCTACTGCAGTATGTTCTGGACAGCCACACAGGTCTGACCCCAGCAAGAAAAAAACCATCACGTCAATTGGGTAATGCAGATGGACTACAACCACAAATGGATCCTGCAACAAACTCTTGCAGCTTTTTTTACCACTTCTGCAGACACCCACATGCATTTTACACATTTTAAAGTCATTCTTACCCACCACCTTCATCTTTATGGTTCTGGTGAGATTATAGGTTCTTCCGTGGTCCTTGAATGTCACAATGCAAGTGTAATTCCCTTTATAGGCACTGCGGACAATGCCAATGACAAGCCTGGGCCCCTGGGGGTATCGCTCATAGAAGCCATCCACCGAGTTGCAGTTCTGGAGTCAGGCAGAAAAATACTTGAGTTTGGGACTCAAAAGTACAGATATTGGTTTAAATGCTTCTACAAAGATCTCATTTAAACTATTAATATGACACTTGGGATCATGATGTAGGTCAGACCTAAATACCACGAACTTTGAGCATGTTGGAATATAGACTGCTATGTTCACCTTGAAAATGAAGTGATGAAGCAGATCACCCTAATAACTTTATCCCACTTTAAACACAGACAATTTTACAAAGGAGAGATCTCTGATTCAGAAGTACCTTGGCAATCAAAGTGAGCACCTCAGCAGAGTGAAGAATGAAGTAAAAAGTGATAAAAAGAAAATGATGACGTATTCACAAATGGATACCAAGACTAAAGGACATGTACCCCATTGATGTCCATCTTTTGGGACTAATCAAGCTCTCCTGGCTGCCTTCAGTTCAGGATGAGGCCCCAGAATGTGCAAATAGCAAACGAGAATCTATAGTACATAAACCTTAATAACTCCTCTCTTTCTGTCAGGCAAGGCAGAAAAACTGCCAAAATACCAAGCTGGAGATCCCTTTTCAGAAAGAGGCTATGCAGATAACATCTTGATTGTCATAAAACCCAAAGATGTGCACATTTTCTAAGAGATTATTTTTGAATGGTACATTTCCAAATCTGATACATCCTAATGGGGTAGTTTAGTACAGGGGTCATATACCATTTTTAATGATTTTTATTAGGCATGGGATGACTTGCTGCCTGAAAAATTACTTCCAAGGGGCTTTGTGTTTCATTCTGCTAATTGATTGCCGAGATGTGAATTTCAATGAATGATACAAGTAAAGCATTTAAACTACTGAAGTGAAATGGCTCCTCTTGATACAAGAGGAAGTTTCTCCTGAAGGGTTTTAGAGGTGGGATTTTCCTTTTGGGTCTTTTTAATTTCTTTTTTAAATCAGCAGGTATATTTGTTGACAATTTCCCTTATGAAATTCATTTATACAAAATCTTCTATCTAGAAATACAAAAGCACCGTATAGTATGTTATTAAAGAATTTATTCCCAGAACTCTCAGACTTTACATCCCCTGAGACTTCTTATTCTCTACTGACTAAAGGCATCCACCTAGAGAGAAAGAGTGAAATCATATTTAATAAAATTGAGCAGTAATTCTGTAGGCAAGAGCCTGAGGATGGCTGGATACAGTCTAATAATCAGAAAACTATGGAGGGTGGGGTAGAGATGTATCAGTCTTCAGAAAAGAGGTTTGCTGAATTGTGTCAAACAGGACACCCATTGTCTTTGCCTGATGTACAACTTCACTTCCTGACCTCAGAGGATTTTGCAAAGGATGCAATTTTCATGAACAGGTGGGTTTTTTTAAAGAAGAGGGAATATGAATGACAGTTTCCTTTCCAGGAAAGTGAGAGGCTCACACACAGCAGGTCAGGCACACTGCCCATAACTGAACTGAGCCACCTAAATCCCTCCTAGAAGTATTTTTCACTTGTGCACACTGGTCAAAAAAGCTTCAGCGTTAGCTCTCAATTTCTTTCCAAGAGCAGTTTTACCCATGAACTCAATGGAAGCAGAGCTCTTAAAATTAGTAAAGCTTCATTAACAGTATCATCACTGGGGAGACTCTGAAACGCAGTTCCATGACTGCCATGCCAACCACTGCTTTTTCACACACACCACTGCATCCCCCTGCTGCAAGTAAGCTCTTCTTACCAGGTACCACTTGACAGTTGGTGTCACACTGGCAGGATAAAACCCATCAATATCTGGACACGTGATCTTCTGATTGGCATGCTCCAAGTAGAACATCTCCTCAGTGGGTTTTATGGAATGGCTCACACAAGAGTGCTGGTCTTTTGGAACAACTTCCAAGGGAAAAGCAACTTTGCTGCAGTAGGTTGTGTTCCTAAGGGTGGATGAGAACAGGGCTGATTAGTTGAAACTTGTTTACTCCTACAGCAGTGGAGTGGAATGAAATAAAAATTACATCTGCAATAACAAGCATCACAGTGCTGATGAGGTATGTACAGCCTTAGTTGACTCATTTATAAATGGCAAAGAAAACCCCACCAGAGGTGGCCACACAAGCTCACAAAAGCCTATAAAGATGACTAACAAGCAAAATCCACTCTCCTGCTGCTAAAGCAGATCATAAGGTCAAAGACACAGACAAAAGACAACGTGAGGAAGACCAAAAAGAGCTCTTACACACAGCAGATGCTACGTTCATTTTGCACCACAGTTAGAGACACCCTTAATTTCCTAGAAGTCTGAATCTCATGAATCTTTGCCAAATTAGTGTGCAGTCAAAACATTACCCCTGCATCTGAAGCTATTTTTACTCTAGACATGCAGATCACTTCTTAATGGTGAGTGCCTGTGGATTTTGCCATGGGCTCAGCAATAATATTTTCACGGACACTTGCAGCAAGGAGAGGCACACTCATTAGTGTCTGCAAGGCTCCAAGCATTATTGCCATGTAAATTGGCTCAGCACTGAGCAGTCCTATAATTGCAACATTCTTTTCCCATTAATGCTTTTGTAAATGGTAGTCTCCCCACAGAAAGCTCTGATGCTAACAGCATCCTTTCCCCACCTCCACAAAAGTCCTTTGATTGCACTGAAGATGTACAGAAACTGCACCACACAACCTACCTGAGCATGCAGGTGTAATTCCCAGTGTCATTGAGAAGAGCAGGCCAGAACCAAAGGGTGTCTTTATCCTTACTGATGTGATTGTCAGGCAGGCGATAATTAATGGGCTCCTCCAGATCCCGGTCCTGCGCGATCCTGTACCAGATCAGGGTTAAGCCAGCAGAATGGGCTGTGCTATAGTTGTACTTCAAGAAGGTCTCAAAAAGTGGGCATTTGATCTTGGCAGGTTCCCCATCGTAAATCTGGATCTGCTTCATGGTGTCCACACCCCAGTCATCGCAGCGCTCTGCAGCCAGGAAGAACAAGGTGCTTTAGGCTTGCAAGTCTGCAGGAGGAAAACAGTTTTGCCCATGCCCCCCACAGCCCTTGGTCCTGTCCCCATTAAAATCAGAGACAAAACTGTAGTGTTTTCAATGAAAGCAAACTGAGCTTTTATAAAACAGAGCAAGAACATTGTGTTCATTTCTAGAGAACTTGGAAACTTCTGTTTTCATTTGCACACCTCCTACGTTTATGCCAAGCTATTTATCTCTCATCAGGACAATAGACTAGGATATTCCTGCATAAAACTAGGCTTCCTACAGAGCTCCAAGAAAATATACCACAAAAGTCTTATGTGGGAAGATAAAATTTGGATGACAACAAAGCCAGAGGTGTGTGTGCATCCATACACAATGATAGGGAAGATGGAAACAGACATGCTGAAATAGGAGGGAAAAAAAAGAAAATAAATCAAACATCAACCCTCCCTTAGAGCTGTGGGTCACTTTCCCTGCCAGAAGAAGCTGAACTGTGGGTTCCAGAAGTGAGGACTGTCTTTCCTGTGATGGTTTAATGTGACACCTGGGCACACCAGGATAGCACAATGAGTACAAGCAGTAATAAGTGACACAGAAAGACTGTTGACAGTGAAGTTTAGAACTGGAGCCTAGGGGGCAGAGGGAACAGTATGGAGTAGGCAGCAGCAGGTTCTCTTGTATTCCCAAGCAGTGCCCAGTTGCAAAGCCCAAGCACAGTTCAACAACAGGCAGTGGCTCAGTGTGGCTCTCAGCAGACTTGGACTGACATAGAAAACATACAGCATGAGAAAAACCTGTATAGAGCTTTCTTTCTTTAATTACTTTCTTTTAAAAAATATTCTTGCCATTAGCAAACAGTTTTGACACAAAAAGCACAGTCCAAACCCACTTCTCTTCCAAGGACTCTTCTCCACTCTGTTCCTCCAACCCATCAGGATGTCCAGGCAGGCAGGGACTCGGTGCAAGCAAAGCACAGTCCCAGGGTGTCAGCAAACCTGGGAGCAACCTGTGCTGTCAGAGCCAACTGAGACACACGGAGAAGCTGCTGTCACTGCACCTCCTGCCTCCCCACGCTGACAAGGCAGAGCACAGCATGGCACACTTCCTCTCTTGGAGCTGCTGGGAGGCATTTGCTAGGGCAGCCTGACGTCTGAGAACCCAAAATGAGTCAAACAGGAGAGGGCTGTGCTGCCTGCAGCAGTCCTTGGGAGCAGTGTCTCAGCACATCACACACAGGCTCACCACAGACTACACTGCAAAGTCTCTCTCATTTGCAGATATTAGATGAACTCAGACTGAGAGGAGAAACAGAATACAATATGCTCTTTGAGCCCAATTCTTCTGAATTCTTCTGAACTGACTTCACAGGCCCAAAGCAGGATTTCTGGCATTTATTCTTCCCTAAATAGACAGTGGGATGTAGCTTGCCTCCAGATTCATACTTAATTAAAAAAAGCAGAGATAAACCTTTGAGAAGACAGGCCTGCAGCACTTAAAGGCAGTGATGCTAACTCCTGTGGCTCAGCAATGGTTAGTCATGGGCAGGAGGAATCTGGGCCAGTAAGAATAGAAATGTTTTCTGGCGGGTTTACACATAAATGTAAATGCAAGCTGCACTGCTCCTCCTGCAGTATGCCAAACACCCATATGACAGAGTGCTACTTCTGGAGGAAGAGAATGAATTGGACTAGGAAAAAGCAGTGAAGCTACCCAGAACACTAGCATTTGTTCAGAGAAACCCCAACCCCAAATATCTGGAGAGTGCTCACCATCTAAAAACATACAGATCTTTCAGAAGTGCACAGCATCACACACCATGGCTGCTACCACAGGCAGTGCCGAGGCTGGGACCACTGCTGGAAGCCTCACACCCTGGGAAGGAGCATAATGACCCATCACCACCGTGATCAAGGCAAACTGGAACCAGCAGACTGCTTTATGCTGGTGGGGCCATGAAATAGGCATGGACAAGTGTCCTTAGAGTGGTAATGAGACAAATGAGCCTGCAGAGACTGCCTGCTAACTGCATGATAAAGCATGGACTCTTACTCATGGAGACAGGGCAGTTTTTTTCTGTAAAGAAAGGCTTCCCCTCTGAAAGGAGCAGACCTGGCTCTGTAAATCAGGATGCCCAGGTTCTCTTCCCAGCATCTGACTTGTGTCTCCTCTTGGGCTGCATAAAGGCAAATCATCCTTATTACTTCAAATGGCAGGACTGGGGAGAGAAGAAACTATATAAAACATTACTGTACTGAAATTCTTGGAGTCAAGATCAATGAAATTTGCAATCGTGAGCAGCTCTTGCATTTTGCAACAGCCCATAAATCAGCACTGTAAAACTACTTACCCGTTCAACCTGAATGAGTTATTGAAAATAAATACAACTATTTTCTCTTTTCTTCTTCCTACATTTCTCCAAAACAATGCCCAGGCCTTGCCTTCTTGGCTTGGGAAGAGGGCACTATTATTGTTTTACTGTAAGGGCTGTAGGAGATTTTGTCTCAGAGCTGGCCTGGCTTCAGGGACACTGTCACAGCAAACAGGCGCTGCTCAGGCTCCCCATGTGCCCTGCCCTGGGTGCTGCAGGCTCTGAGTGAGCCCCAGACACAGCACATAACCACATAACTGCTGGCAATGAACAGCTACACCCAGAGCTCAGGAGCTGCTGTGCAGTGGGAGATCCCAGGCTGTGCCTCCCTCCCAAGGCAAGGACTCCTCCTGGCTGCCAGGGCAAAGGCACCCAGCATGACTCCGAGGGCTCAGGAAGTACTGCCATGACCCCTCACTCAGAGCAGAGATGCAGGAACACCACAGGCTGCAGCAAAATGTCCTTATCACATAAAACACCAAGGACAGAAGTTGTGGTGCTTTGCACAGCTTCCCTCTCCCTGTGCCATGCAGCACTTGCACTGCTATTTCTACTTTCTGGGGTGGTTTACTCCCAAGGTAGCCAGGCTCTGCCTGATATAATGTGTGAGAACTGCAGGGCACCCCTCACACACACCTTTGTGAGCCTCCTCCTCCTCACCTCTGACAGTGCTCTTCTCCCTGTGACAACAGCAACCTTTGCTGTGGTGGCACTTCTGCAGCAGAGCCCAGCAGATGGGGCAACATGTCCACACACATCCATTAAGTAGAGGGGATACTCACATTACTATTGCTGTAATTTTATTTGCATCCAACAGCTCCCCACAACATTTTGTGCTCTTTCCACTATTTTAAGGTCTACTGGATATTCAGAGCCTACTTGCTGCTAAGATCAGCATGCAGCTACTTGTGTGTCAGTCTAAATTGGAGATAGCCTGGCATGCAATAAAATGGCATGACTGACCCTTCATCAGCATAAAGCAGTCCCACTAGGAAGAAAAAATATATACATACACACATTGCTAGATCCTGATTCCAGCAACAATGTGATTTGAGGGAGCACTGCAGAAAAAGGATGCAAGGATCCAGTTGTAATTGTGAGAAACAGCACTAACTTCTATGGTGCTGTGCCCATTTGTAGCAACTCACACTTGTTTTCACTGGCTAAGCCTCAGAAGTGAGTTTCTTCTCTCTTGAAATGTTTCCTGCAAAAAAACAGCTGCTGGAGTTAAGAGCAGCTCCTGATTAAATCAACTGGGATCAGCATTCATGCTGTGACTCCAGAGGTTCCCTAACAAATGGAAACTAGGGAGAAGATGGAGCTGTATCCAACTGCACATCTCTTCTATGCTACAGCAAATGGAGCACTACACATACACCTGTAGCCCCAACTCTCTCAGCCTGTCTTCACAGGAGAGGTGCTCCAGCTCCCAGATCAACTTCATGCCCTCCTCTGGACTCACTCCAACTGATTCATGTCCTTTGTATGCTGGGGACCCCAGAGCTGAACACAGCACTGCAGTGGGGTCTCACCAGAACAGAGTAGAGGGGCAGAATCACCTCCGTTGACCTCCTGGCCACACTTCTTTTGTTGTGACCCACGACACAGTTGGGTTTTTGGGGCTGCCAAGTCATATCTCAACAGGTTCCTACTCATCTGTCCCTGCTGCATTATCTCAAAGCAAAGCTGGTATGAGTCAGCCTCTACCCATGGGGCACAGCAAGGCCAGCCTTCTATGATGCACGAATCAGCATCAATAAGGCAGGAAAAGTTGATCACACAAAGCAATTAAACAAGAATTAATTGTTACTAGCTTAAAAAAAAATGTTCCTCACCACCATCTTTCAAGCTCAGTCAGTGAGAAGGAAGGAGAGGAAGCCAGGCTGAATGGAGAAGCCATGCTGTGAGCACAGGAGGCACCAGCTGTGGCCAGTACCATGCGTGGGTGCATCTCCCATTCATGCCAGTGCCAGGAGCACCCACTCTCCCCACTGTGTCTGCATTCTTCCTTTTCCACCCTGCACGAGACCAGCCCTGGCTGTTCCCTGGCTGTGTTCTCTGCTCAGTAGTATCCCATCTGACCATACAACAGGATGCAGAAGAAGAGAAGCATGGAAAAAAACAAATTAAAAGCTCTGCCCTCTGGTTTCTGCCTCTTCTCCTTAACTGGGAGAAGAGGCACAAACCAAAACACGCTGAGATGGGTGGGAATGACACAGAAGTTGGGTTAGGCCCAGCCAGGATCAGCTGGCTCTCACCGTTTGCTCTCACTACTTCTGCAGAAGTGATGGTGGCCAGAGAACACCTGAAAACTGAATTGTAACTGAATGCTGCCTTGGAGGCTCAGCCTAGAAGCTGTGCCAATTCTGCAGAAATTTATAATCTCACTTCCAGTGGAAACGCATCCAAAGAGGCCTCTCATAACCCCACTGCCTTCCTCCCACAGCCTCTCCAGAAGAGCAAGGAGGTGGAAATGGTCCTGGCACAACCTTCCTACACAGCCCAACCCCATCCATGTAGTTCTGCTGTGATGGCATTGGTGACATGGTTTTACACTTCTCCCAGGTTTCATCATATTCATCCCGTGTTGCCACTGAGCTGTGATGCCACCACAGAAGC